GGGGGGTGTCCATCCCATGAGGATCCATCTCCATCCCCACATCCTTGGGAAGGGCTGAAGCAAAGGGAACGTTCGAGCTGAGCACAGCAGCAGGACCAAGCCTGGCTGGATGAGATCAGCACATCCAGAGGATTTTTCCAAGGTCCCCCCCCATAGATGTCCCCATCCATGCACCCCCAGCCAGGGCCCCACAGCACCTACCGAGATCTCCTTGCCCATCCCGATCTGGCTGAGGTTGGGCTTCATCCCTCTTCCCACCTGCCAGATTATTGCCTCTGCTGGCTGAGTCTTGAAGGGCCATTCCCGGGCGTGCAGCTCATACCAGATGGTGCTGTGGGCAGACACTGGGAATGAGACACGGAGCAGCCAGGAGGGATTCAGGATGGGGAGGTCACTGCACCCATATCCAGCATCTCTCCCTGCTCCAGAGCCACCTCATCCAGGGGATGCTTCATCCCAGGTGACACCTGGAGGTGCTCAGCCCTTGTTACAGAGGTGTCACCTCTGCATTTTCCAGAGGGAGGAATGTGACCTGGAGCGAGCCCTGATTCCCACCAGGGGACATCCCAAGCCGTGGGAAGGAGGACAGAGGCTGATGGAGGCCCAGGCAGAGCCATCAAGTGGGAATGTCCCACCTGGATGTGACAGCACTGTCCATGGAACAGCTGAAGAGAGGATGGTGGGGATCCAACTGCCACCACTCCAGCAGAATTCCAGGAAGGGATGAGCCCAAGAATTCACTTTCACTCCAGCTTTTCCCTTTTTCTCCTCCAAAAAGCTCTCCAAGCTCCAAAAATCCATCCAAGCCATGCCATGAACCATCCCAGGTGTCCTCACCAGGTGATGGCCACGTGAAGCCCCGGCCATCTGCTCCTGCTCTCCTTGCTAAGCCAAGCCCTCTTTTCCATGAGGAATCCCAAATCCAAGGGAATATCCCAAAACAAGGGCATCACTGATGGACCTGATGGGCACCCCTGTGGTTTTCCGCCCCCGCTACTGCCTGGAAGTTTTGCATCATCATTTTCTGGCACCTGGAGCTTGGATGAGCCCGGATTCCCACAATGCCAGCCCCACTGTCCAAGGCAAATTCCCTGGACCTGCTTTTCTCTCCCAGGAATGCCCTCGTGACCATTTAAAGCAGCAAAACCCAGGGTTAAAATGACATCAGGGTGGAAAAATCTGTCTGAAAAACGAAAGATTCTTCCTGGTTAGGGAAGCTCACTGATTTCAGGAATTGGAATTCTTCTGATTTTGCATAGTTTGGCTGGGAATCTCAAAAAAAACCCGACTGGATAATGGGAGAATTATGTGGGTGCAGAGGAATGGAGGGCTTGGAGAGGGGCAGATCCTGTTGGCACAGCATAAAATCCTCAGGAGGAGCATCCAGACACCCTCAGATTGGATTTAACACATCCAAGGCATTAATTCCAGTTTCTCACTGGGAGTTTTTGTCATCTTTAAAAGATCTTTTCTTCTTGCTGTCTCTGACCCCCAAATCCCTGGAGGGAAGCGACGCCTCCAGATCATCCCTGAGCCTTCCGGGCTTGATGGAGGGCAGCAGAAACAAGAAAGAGGGAAAATGTGGGGAAACTTTTTCATCTTTTCAGGAAACTCACGCTTTCCATAAGGGCAGAACTCACACTTGAGGAAAAAAAGGAGAAAATTACGTCTCCTCACCCACTCTCACTTAGTTGGATACGATCCTTTAATTACCTCTTCATTTCTGTGCTGAAGTTGTACCTCAGGGAGGAAAAAAAAAAAAAAAAAAAAAAAGGAGCCAGACCCTTCCAGCTGTAATTACTGTGGGTTTGATGGGAATATTGCCTTGGATAACAGGCCCACGCTCCCTAATCCCACAGCCTTCGAGGTATCCATGAGAAAATTAATCCTCTGGGTAAAATCCGCATCCGCCTCGGGAAGGGTTTAGCGAGGTGGAATTGGGCTCGTGCCCTCAGGGAGGTTTGTGGGCAGGAAAAGGGCAGGAGGAATGAACTGCTTTGCTGAGGAAAACTTAAGAATTCTCATTTTCTTGGCTTTTGGCAACTCCTTGTAGAGCTGGCACCACTGTCAGCCCCCTGCAGAGGGCTGGGGGGGGAATTGGGGTGTCCAGAGGCTCCAAAGCTCTGTCCCCAACCTTTGGCATCTCCATCCATCATCCTTCTCATCAGTTCCCACCCCAGGAGGATGCAGGGGAGAGATGATGCCAGGCTGGCATTCCCTGGATACTCCAGATCCCATTGTCCAGCACCACTCGGGTCCAAACCAGGAGGATTTGGTAATTTGGGGAGAATTAGGCAATCCAGGAGATCCCAGACCTGTGTTCCCACCCCAATCCCCTCATCCCCAGGATCCTCTGGGTCCCATTACCCACAGCCAGCCTGGCCTAAAACAAGAGGATTTGGTGATTCAGGGATGGTTTAACTCAAAATTTCTCGAAGCAGGAAGGTTCTCCCAACGCAACGATGGGAATTCCATCCAGCAGCATCCCCTTGGATTCGGGGTGAGCCAACAGCATCTTCATCCTCATCCTCATTCCCCCCTGTGGCCAGAGCAGCTCCCACCCGACCCAACCATGCCAGTTCCCTGCTCCTGGTGCCCCAGGACTCACCCCAGTGCAAAAACATCCGAGTGCTTGGAGAAGGGCAGCTTGTCCTCCTCGGTGTCCGGGGACAGCTGCCGGATGATCTCGGGGGCCAGGTGGCACAGCCAGCCGTTCTGGATGCGCAGCTTGTTCTCCCTCCTGCCAGACACAGAGCCCTGGGTACCCCTGGGACAGCACCCCCACATCCCACCCAGCTTCCCACCCTCTTCCCGAGGTTTTTAAGCCTGGTTTTCCCCACGTCATCCTTGCAAAGTCAGGTTTTCTCCCAGCTCTAGAAAGGTTGTCTCTGCCAGGCAGCAGGACAAAGCCAGGACACAAGATGGTGCTTTAGGGGAACTTTGGCTCTTCCAGGCTGGTGATGGGGATTTGGGGTCTGCTGGGGCTTCTGCTCTGTCCTTTGCACCAAAACCCCTTAAAGGATCCAGGGGTAAAATGAGGATAAATTCCCCCAGCAGCCCCACCGTGGCTGGAGCAGGAAGTTGGAGTGGGGACCACAAAGTGCCTCTTCCCTAAGGAACAGCCTTGGAATTGGTGTTTTCAGGTCTTTGGCCCCAAAACAGCCCCTTCAAGTCCAATCCTCCACTGGCATCTCCCATGGGAGCAGCCTGGCTTTATAACAACCCCTCATTTCACCTCATCTGCCCTTCCTCCACCTCTCCAGGCTCCCCCTGCTCGGGATAAACGCGTTGGAATCCCTTGGTCGATGGCTGAGGATGACATTGGTGATTTCTCCATCCTCTACATCCTCCAGCAGGCACTGCTGGCTTCAAAATCCCTGGATTATCAGGGGTGGTGACACCTGAAGCAGCTTCATCGTGTGTCTGAGCCCAAGTTCAGCAGCAGGAGGGAACAAAAGTGTCCCACATCACGTTGGGCTGGAGAAGGAAGAGCCCGCTGGCTCCTGCCAGGAATTTCTCCCTGTTTGTCCTTGAAACCGTCCCGAAGTTGGGGATGAACAGGGCTAAGGGATGGCTGTGGGCTCATCTGTCCTCCTGAATGTCAGCCTGGGGCCAAAGTCCCATGGGACACAATCCGGGGACGGGGTCCCACCTCAAAGCTGACTGTAATCCCAAAATGGCACAATCCAGATCCTCCTGTCTGCAAAGCCATCCCCATTCCCAGGGACAGTCTGGCAGTGACCAGGGGGTCCCCTTCCCTAGGGAAGGACACTGCCACTCCCAGGAGTGCCTGCCGGAGCCTCCTCGTCCCCTCTGGGCTCTCCTCTGCAATCAGCGCGGCTCGGACCCTCCGGAGCCACGGAGAAGCACTTGGGCACAGAGGGGAGGCTTTCAGCCGCCCAGCCACCTCCCCCCGCCCTCCAGCTCTTAATTACAAACCACCATTAAGCACCTGGGCAATTAGCAAGGCTTGGCTCGTCCTTCCCTGTCCCTGGCGGGAAGCAGCGGGATGCAGTGGGCAGCACTTGGATCTGCTCCAGCACCCTCGGCAAGGCTGGGTTTGCTCCTGGGGATTTTGTTTGTGCTCCTTGAGGTGGCTCAGGGCTGTGACATTCCACAAACAGCCTCGGGATGTCCCAGGGACTGGATTGGGAAGCACAGCTCATCCCTGGCAAAGCTTCTCTGGGTTAGGAGCTCCCAGCAATGAAGGCTGGGCTTGAATGGGATCTCCATAGCAACTGGAGAGTTTATGACCAAAGTTTACCCCACTTCACAACCACACCCAGCTGAGCATCTTCCAAAAAAGCAGGAGCAGAAGAGCTCCTCAGACTCCTCAAGACCCACCTCGTGCTCCTCCTAATTCCAGAGCAGCCCCACCGAGCCTAAGAACATTTAAATAAAGGAGGAATCCAACTGATTTCAGCAGCATGAGACCCCAAGTCACCAAATCTCCACAGGAAGCGTTTTAACCCCAGAGAAACCAGCTGAAGAGATGTCACCATCCTTAACCTGACCTCCAAAAACTTGCTTCCTTCCCAATAGATGTTTTTCCAAGCCTCTAAGGACACAAAATTGTTTTTTTTTTTTTCTCTCGTCTTCATCTGAGAGACAGCAAAACCAGCAAAAACCCATCCTGAAAAGGGGAGGTCAGACCTGCAGACACTTCCTGTTCCAAAATTCATGGTGGCTGTGGATCCCTGCTCTTCTCTCAGCTCTCCTCCAGCAGCAAACATGTGCTGCCAGCAGCCCAGGACACAAATGTTCTCATTTTCTCCATTTTTCCAGCAAAACCCTGCTCATTTCTATCCAGCCTTGCCTTCCTGGCCATCCTTCCTCTCCTGAGTCATCTCCTGGATTCTAACCCCACAGGACACATCCCAATCTTGAGCAGAGGTGGCCACTTCATCAAAAACCCCATTCCTCCCATTTCTAATTCCATCTCTGGGGCATCCCTAATCTTCACAGCAAAGATTCCTGGCAAAACTTGGCCAGTTTTGGCCAAATCCTCATTCCCTGCTGGAATGAGCTGTCCCTTCTTCCTGAATCCCAAACCCCAGCCCAGCTGCTGAACCAGAGGCAAACCCCACTTTGCCACAGTGGGAGATCCTGATTTTTCCAAAGTTTTTGGCCAAGTTTGTGCTAAAATCCATTGGTATTTATCCAGGCAGAGTGGAAAATCTGGGAATGCACAGTGAGGGATGGAGAGAGGCAGCTGCTGCCGTTTTCTCTAATCCTTTGAACTCATCACTGGGAAATTGGGGGGAAATTCATCATTTCCAAAGGGCTTTTTATTTCCTGAGCATCTTTACCATGGAGATGGAAGGACCAGGAGAAAACTGCCCAAGCTTGGGCTGTGCTGGTCCCAACACAAAAGGTTTTGTGGGAAATCCAACACAAAGGATTTAGTGGGAAAAGTCAGCAATATTCTTATTTCCCTCTTAAAAAACAAAAGGAAAATATTATGTCTGTTCTTCCTTCCCCACTTCTGTTTCCTTTCCCCTCCAGCTTTGCTATTCCTCCTTTCCACAGCTGCTGGAACTCTTTGCTTTGCCATTCCTACAGCTGGAAAACCTCCCAAAGCATTGGGAAAATAAATTTAATAACAAACATTTATCAAAACCTTCAGATTTAAACCCTCAGAGACCCCAAAATGTCGCAGTGTTGTGAAAGTCCCAAGCTTGGCTCTCATTTTCCGTGTCTTGCTCCATGCCCAGCACAGACACCATGGCCAGATGTCTGTAATTCCCAAAATGTCAGCGGAGTGGAGACAGCACAGGGATGGCATCACTCAATCCAGGCAGGAGATGAAGCAGATGACAGGGAATTATAACGATGGGAAGAGAAAAGCCAAGGAATGAACCAGCCCTGCTGCCACAGGAGCATCTCCTGGGTGGCTGCAGGGTGTTTTGGCCGTGGAAATGATGAATCCCATGGAAAGAGGTCGGTCCAAGAGGCACAGTTTGCCTCCCTGAACCAAAATTCCAGAGGCTCACACATCGTGTTCCTTCCTATGGATCAAAACCAACTCACTCCCTTCATACAGAGCAGCCCCACGACACTCAAAGGCCTCTTGAACTCCTGTCTGCTGAGGCTGGGGACACAAAAAGGCACTTGGAGAGGGATTTTTGGGGATTTCCCCCCCCCATGTTTCCAGCTTTAGGGCACAGGGAGGAACTCCAGTACGTCCACGTCCTCCTACCTGCCTGCTTGGAGAACTCCAGAGATGCTGAAGAGCCCGAAGTCGGTGATCACCACCTTCCCATTGTCATAGAAAACATTCTTGGACTTGAGGTCCTTGTGGAGAATGCCCTTGGCGTGCAGGTATCCCATTCCCTGGGACGGAACAGAGAGAGGGAAAAAAATCCCCGAGTTACAAAAAGGGACAGGGCGATGCCGGAGTGGTGGCATTCCCGTGAGATCCATGAGCCACCACAGCACATCCACCCCGTCCCCAAAGGTCCCTGCAGGAAGGGAGGGGTGCCCTGGTTTGGGATGGGCTCTCGGAGGGAGATGGGATTGCGGTGTGAGCGTCCCAGCTGCCACGGCCCCCACTCATCTTCCTGATTAATTGATTCTGCAGGGAAAATGAGCGGCAAACCCACCCGGCAGGCGCTTCCCCGGAATCCTCCGCTGGGAAATGGATGGTGATGATGTTTTCGCCTCCGTGGTTTTGGGGGCTGGGAGAGGAGGGTAATAAGTCACCGCTCCCCATAGCCCTGGCAGAGCCATCGGCGCTTCCGACGGCCCCATCCGCCTGGAAACAGGCGCCTCGCAGGAGTCCTGCCTTAATTCCTTTCCCCCAGGAAAAACTGCTCGGCGGTTAATTAAAATTAGCGCTAATGAGGCGCAAAAAGGCCATGGGTGGGAAATCCAAACTCTCCTGTTTAGCGTCGGCAAATCAAGCAGACTGCCGGCAGCTCCGTGTGGCGGATGTTCAGCTCCGTGGGATAATTCTGGGAATGGGGAGGGGGATAAAACACATTTATCCCAACTTCAGCAGGGATTTTGATGCTGTCCCACTTTTCACTCTCCTAAGCAGACTCAGGGAAAACTTGATCTGCAGGATGCTGCTGAAGGATCAATGCCCAACAGGCCGGCAAACTGTTGCTTAAGAGGGAATATTGGTTGTCTGTCACTGGAAAAAGGGGATTTATTCACTGGAATTCCATGGGGATCCATCCATCCTAATCATCATCTCGTCTTTTCATCTATCATCATTAACCACGCAGGCTGTGCGAGAAGAATTTATTTTTAAGCTGGCGGCTGATGTGGAGCCAGAAGACCTAATCCAAATTCCACCATCTGGAAAAAGTGGCAAAACAAACGGAAAAACACCCCAACCCAGCAAGATATGGGGGTTTCACTGCACCCCTGCAGGGAGCAAATCCTAAAGAGCTTCTGCCAAAGGATGCTGGAGGAAGGAAAGGATTTGGGGCTGGATGCCAGGACCGTTCCAGGCACGGGATTAATTAGGGGTCTCCAGTTCCCAGCTCATGAAATAATGATGAGGTTTAAAAATCAGCTTTCAAATGTCACTGTCACCTCCACAAAGTGCCAGGGTGGAGCAAGGAACAATATTCCAATGTTTCTCTGGCCAGGGCAGAGGTCCGGAGCATCCATGGATGAGCCCCAGTGCCACGGGAATGCTCTGCAGCCCCTTCCCATCATTTGAGGGTGACAGGATCCCAGAAGGACATCAGGACCTTGCTCCTGCCTGCTCCCACATCCAGCGGGGAGCTCATCTCCATGGAATCATCAGACACAGCCTGGCCTGTGCTGAAGGGATTTCTCTGGGCAAACCCGAATCCCTCACCTCGCTCTGTGCTGCAAATTCCAGCGCTGGCACCCTGGGGTGGTCCATGAGGAAACGCTCTGGGCCAAGCAATGCCTTCATTTGCTCAGCCCTGTGAAAAGGCAGCTCCCTCTGCCGGCACCACTCCCGGGATAAATCATCCTTCCCTTCCCGGGGATTGCGGGGTAACCCAATGATCCAACGAGCTCAGCAGCTCTCCCAGCACATTCCAGGATTCAAAAGATAAAATCAAACAACTGCTGGGACCCCGCAGCAAATCCAAAGCCCTGGACAATGCAGCTCCGAGCCCACCCAAGCCAAGGCTTTGGGATTTTCCTCCGGTCCCCAATATCTGCCACTTCCACATCCACCAAAACATCTGCTGGAGATTGGTGGGGGAAGATGGGAAGGCTGGGAAGCTGGAATGGGCCACATGGTTGGGTCATGGCATTGTGGCAGGGCTGGAGTTCTCCAGGAATTCCATTTAGTGCCCGGGGAGAGCCTTTAGAGCTCTGCTAATTCCTCCAGGGATCTGGGGTGGATACAAAATCCCTCTGCCCCTCAACACCACAGAGCTGCAGGTTTCCAACCTGTTCCTAACAGGCACCAGCTGCAGAAAAATCTCTCGGCCTCATCCTGGAAAGGCACACGGAGCAATGAACCCATGCAGGGAAAGGGGCTGAACGGAGCTGCTCTTCCTGCTGGGAACATCTGGAAGGCAAAAGCCCTGAGCACAAAAAGGGGGAAAAATACAAAGCTAAACCATGATGCTTCAAGTGTTTGCTCAGCGGGAAAAATCCATGTGTAAAAGGTGGAAAACATGGATCAGAAGCAGGAATTAAGAAGGGAGAGGCTCTGGGTTGCCTCAGGTACCCCCAGCTCAGGCCACGGCTCCAAGGGAGCAAAAGGTTCAGGCTGTGCTCACCTGTCAGCTCCTGCCTGGAGAGTCCAGGAGAATTGAAGGAATTTAAACGTAAAAGTTAACACTGGGTCCAAATAAACACAAAATAGGGAATTTAATAAGACACAGCATAAGCACCATGGAAGAAATACTGCCAAACCTATCTGCTTTTAATATTCTGCTGGGTTTGAACGTTTAAGGGGGGCTGAGATGTGCCAGAAAATCTGATTTTCTGTTGTTTTGCCACTGTTAAATGTGGGATCAGCTCCAGGTTTGGGCTCTAGGGTGGAAGTGTTGGCTGACCTTGAGCAGGGCATGGGGGCAGTGTCACAGCTCCTGTGGCACAGCACGTGCCAAATATGTTTGGTGATAAATATGTTTGGAATCACAGCAGAACCACAGACAGCTCAACACCTCAGTGCTGCTGCTGACATCCCATGGGAAGCTGTGAGGGCTCAGGAGCAGCCACTCCACCCTGCCATCAGGATTCTCCCCAGGACTGTGTGAAGGATCACATCTGAACTGTGGAAGCTGCATTTGGAGCCATCCCTGGGAAATTAAAAGCATTTTTAACTCTGGAAAATGAAGGTGAGCTCAGCCTTGTGGCACCATGGCTTGGATTTCTCCAGGAGCCTCGGCCTTGGGAATGTTTTATGGGAATCCTGGGAATGCTGGAAGTGTCCAAGGCCAGGCTAGACAGGGCTTGGACCAACCTGGGATAGTGGAAGGGCAAGGGGAGGAATGGGATGAGCTTTAAGGTCCCTTCCAACACAAACCATTCTTGTATTCCATGATTATTACAGTTTTCTTCCAAGAGAAGAGGAATATCCCACCAGGAACTCCTTCACTGCAGAAATGCTGGAATTAAACACCTGAAATTCCAGCAGGGAAGAGGAGCAGTGGCCAGGAAGATTCCCAAGCATGGGGAGCCCATGGAAGCTTTGGTGCCACCCCAATTCAGCCACATGAGAGAGGTCAAAGAGACCTGGATTTTAAAACCAAGGGGTTCTATCCTGCCCAGAATCCCTGGATTTTAAAACCAAGGGGTTCTATCCTGCCCAGAATCCTTGGATTTTAAAACCAAGGGGTTCTGGTTCCTGCCCAGAATCCCTGGATTTTAAAGCCAAGCAGTTCTATCCTGCCCAGAATCCCTGGATTTTAAAGCCAAGCAGTTTTATCCTGCCCAGAATCCTTGGCTGCTCCTCTCCTGCTCCCCAGAATGACTGGCCTGGGCCCTTGGCTGGGTTTTTTTGCTGGATCCAGACCCCACCAGAACCTACCTTCACAATTTCTTGTGCTATCTGCCTCGTCTTGTTGACATCCAGGACAATTTTGGCATCCCTCACCACGGAGTAGAGAGTCCGTCCTTTACACAGGCTGCAAGAACAGGAGAAGGGAGAGAGAAGTTACAGACAGAGTTTTTCCTGGAGAAACAGCCCCAAATGATAAAGCAGGGAACTTTATAAATATTAATCATCACAGGATTTTGGCCAGATTTTGGCCTCTTGGCTCAAAGCAGATTGAAAATTCCGTAGGGAACTGGGGTCTCTCCCAGTTTGGCACTGGGAGGGAACTCCCACTGCTCCTGACGTGTCCTGGTGGCACCACCGTGGTGCCACAAGGGACAAGCTGGGCTGGCTCCTGGCTTTTCCCTGTATCCCAGCCCAGAGCAATCCCCCTGGTCCTCTCCTGTGCAGAACTGGCCGTGGCTCCCTTCTCCTCCTCCCTCGGGATGCAAAGCTCACAGATGTAAAATAAGTCAAAAGAGGAAAGACAGGGAGGGAACAAAATCCCCCAACCCAATCCCATGTACAATGTCCTCCAATTTTCCTTCTCATACCAATTACAGTAAAATCTATTTACAGAGCCTTAATTACCAAAGGCAGCTGGATGGGGAGGGGGGGGAGGGGGGTTGGATATAAACCAATTAAAAATATATTGACATTTGAATATCATAATGGAGGACGTGGGTGGCTGCTGCCTCGACTCCCGCCCACAAAAAAAAAGCTTTTTTTTTTGCTTTTCTCTATCCGCCCACGCTCATTCCAGCAACTTTGGAAAGATGAGAATGGATACCTGTGCCTGGGAAATAAAACACCCAACACACAGCTTGTTAAAGAGGTTTGGTGGCTGCAGATGTTTATTTGATTCTGTTCTGGTTAACAAATTAAAAGTTCTGGGGTTTCATTTTGCTGCTCTCCCCCAGCTTGGCTCCACCACTTTCCCCTTGCCCAGTTCCTCCTTCCCTGGGAATTCCAGCATGCACTGGTTTGGAATCATCCCCTGATAGAGGTATTGTCCTTTTTGGGTGAAAATCATCACAGAATCACGAAAGAGAATCACAGAATGGTTTGGGTTGGAAAGGACTTTAAGGACTGTATAATTCCAGCCCTCTGCCATGGGCAGGGACACTTTGAATGGAGCACCCTGGGATAATGGAAGGTGTCCCTGCCCAGGGCAGAGGGTGGAATGGGATGGGCTTTAAGGTCCCTTCCTACCCAAACCATTCCACGAGTCCATGAAACCCAAACTGCAGAAGTCACAAACACAAAGGGTCCTCCTGCTCCTAAGCCAGAAGTTCCACATCACTCCATGGGCAGAGAGCAGAATTTTCAGGACAACCAGTGAAACAGGAACAGGATCAATCCCACATCCTATGGGTTTTGGAAAGACAACAGCACCCTTCCAAATATTTCCTCACTGGGAGCGTTAGGAATTGTCCTGCTGGACACAAGTGAGCTGCAGAAGGGATTTAGGGCAGCAAGTGCCTCCTCAGGGATGGTTTTCCTTGCTCAGGTGTCCCAGACATCCCTGAGCATCCCAGCTGGATTTAGCCCCGAGGCAGCTGCGACACAAACTCGCTCCCTCTGAGCCATCTTCCCATCTCCTGCAACACTTCCACTGCAGTCAGATAAGAATTTGCTGGAGATTAGGATCCGAGCACTTGGAAATCTGTGATAAAATCCCCGGGTTTCTGTAACTGGAACGAATCAAAGTGTGCAGAGTAACAGTGGGCACAAATTCTCCTTCCATCGCCTTTATTTTTCTGCACTAATTTGCTACATAAACCCACCGAGCTTTAAGCTTTGTCACACAACAGCCTTTTGCCACCTCCATGACCTGCCTGCATACCCAGGACTTCCCCCAGCCCTTCCCAATACACAGAAAACCACAGAAAACCATTTTACAGCCAGTTGCCTGTGATCTGAATTGGTCACAAATTGACACTGGAAATGCAATGAGTGGATTAGCACTGAAATGGGGCTGGATTCCAGCCCTAAAGTGAGTTAAGATCAGCTGTTTTCCTGGGAAAGGGTTGTTTAGAGGAAAATCCTCACATTTCTGCCTATCTGAAGTGCTGAGATAACCCCGAGAGCGGAGCTCGAAGCCCTTTGCTGGTGAGATTCCCATCTTTCCACTTCATTTACAGAATTTCCAAATCCTTCTCAGCGGATCAGGAGAGCAGGCAGACTCGGGGTGGTGGCACCAGGACATGTCACTGTCACCTCTGCTCCCCAGACCCTGGCAGAGCCATCAAAGCAGCCCAGGTGCTTCTCCCCTCCACTCCATGAATAACTCGATGAATCCGAATTAATTCACCGAGCGCTCGCCGCACCAGCACATCCGACTTTTCTTGCTGGATAAGGAGCTGCCAACCTGGAGATAAAGCCCTGTTGATACCTTTTATGCAGCACCTGAGCCCATTCAGCCACCACCTGCAGAACCTTTTCATGGCACAGCTCAACAATTCCGCTTCTCCTCATTCCTCAATCGCTCCCCATTCGGGCAGGACAAAGAGCGGCGCCCAGGGCACGCTCCGAGTCTCCTGCCTTTCCCCTTGGAGAGGTCCCTGCTGAGCATGGCTTTGAGGCTGTGGATGACAAGGCCACAAAACACTCGACACCAAAATCAAGGCAGGTATAATTTGCATCTTCAGATGGATCCCGGGTTATTCAGCGCTGAAGTGAAAATTCATAAGGAATTTTTGTCTTCTTCTCCCGAACTTCTCCGTCCCACCTGGCGGCAGAGCGGGTTGATGACACGTGCCCTGGTGCCACGAGGTGACCAAACACCATCCAGAGCTGAGGGGTGGCTGGGACAGAGATGCAGAGATCCTTCTGGGAGTCCTCAGCAGAGCACCTCATCCCATGGCACATCCACATCCACATTCCGGTGCCTTTCCCGGCATTAGGACAGGCCCAGCCCCATCCTGCTGCAGATGCCACTCTTAATTCAAAATGAGTTTTTGAAGTGTTCAGCCAAGCAAGCCAAATCCCAAATTGCTTTATAAACACTCTGCATTCCCAACGTGGGCTGGAGACATCAGCAGCGGGAGCAAAGCCAAGGCGGCTCACAGAGGAACAATTTGGGATGAGGGAGGAAGAGCTGGAGTGCTGCCTCTGGGTGTTTTTGATGTTCCATGGGAAAACAGCTTCATCTGCCTCCCATTCTTTGGGGTTTTTTACCCCTCTTTGCAATACTGATGGCCATCAGCTCTGCACTGGTGGCCAACACCTCTACATTGATGGTCACTGTCTCTACACTGGTGGCCATTACTCCTACGCTGGTGGCCAACACCTCTACATCAACAGCCACCTCCTCTACACTGGTGGTCATCACCTCTACCCCGATGGCCATCTGTGCTGGTTTTGCACATATGACATTTAGTGAGGAAGGACAAGACACCCACAGAAGTGGCTTTTTTAGAGCAGGTGCTGAGAGCTTCCTCTGTGTCTGACAAAAACCAATCAGGGATTGACTTTTAGAATTGACAACCTGTTAAGCCATTGAGAAAGTTGAATGCACATTTTAAAAATGAACAAAACTCGGGAATCTCTCATTCCCTCCCAGCCTCAATCCAGGTAACAGCCTGGTCCAGCCCCTCTGTGGGAGGGATATTAACTCTTTCACTGCACAGATGAGACTTGCAGACCTTCCATCCTCTCTTGAGTGAAAGGAAAGGGCTGAGATGATGACACACACAGAAACTGCTTGGAGACATCAAGGTCAGACAAGAAGAATCAGTCAGGTCCCTGATGGGAGGGGATGAGGAGATGTCTTGGACTGGGATTCTCTTGTAAGCTATGGGGAAGATATGATCGATAAATCAGACTCTTGTTTCCCTGTAACTCGTGGAATGTATTTTGAAGGGATGAAATGCTCTAACCACAGTCATGAGCAGAAGCACCAGTGCTGAAGGAAGCAGATGTTGAAGTAGCTGTGATCCCATGAGAAGTTTGAACAGAGAGAGAGAGAGAGAGAGAGAGGAGTGATGGAGACCCTTTGCCCTCAGGGAAAAAGAAGAAGATCTCTATTTCTAGAGCTGAAAATGATCTGAGTTAGATGAAGAGAACGTGTGCTTTTGAACAGTTTTCATCCTTAAAAAATGGTACCCTCTAAGCTGACATGGTGCTCCATAGCAGTTGTGGGAAGACTGTTAGGGATTTTTACACAGTGATCAGATTTCCATTCTCCTGGAGAGCTGATTCACTGTGACATTGAAACCACAAGAGAACAGTTTCTTGTGGAGAAGTCCCCATAGACTGAAGAGACTCCTCTCCCTAAGTAAACTGGAGAAAAACTATTTTTAGAGATGGTAAACTGACTGATTTGTTTATATATGTTGTAAGTGTGAAAGAAAAAAATGTGTGGGGGGAGGAGAAAGTGTTCTGAAGGTTTTATTCTGATTCTTACTATTTTTCTTTTTAGTTTCTGTTAATAAAGTTTTCTTTATACCCTTCAAAGTTGGAGCCTACTTTTGCCTTTCTCCTAATCCTATCTCACAGCAGGAAATGAGTAAATAATTCTGCAATTAGCCAACACTAAACCCACCACATCAATTAGTGCATTAGGGAAACTCAAATTGGCGAATCAAAACCACTACACCACCACCTCTACATTGACAGCCACCATCTCTACACTGATGGTCATTGTCTCTACACTGGTGGCCAATACCTCTACATTGGTGGCCAACACCTGTACACTGGTGGACATTACCTCTATACTTATGGTCACTGTCTCTACATTGTGGGTCATTGTCTCTACACTGATGGTCATTGTCTGTAGGATGATGGTCATCACTTCCACATTCATGGCAATCACCTCTGCATCAATGGCCATTGCCTCTACATTGGTGGCCAACACCTCTACCTTGATGGCCACCACCTCTATCCTGGTAACCATCATTTCTACATTGACGGTCATCACCTCTACATTCATGGCAATCACCTCTGCATCAATGGCCATCACCTCTACCTGGATGGCCACCACCTCTATCCTGGTGACTGTAACCTCTACATCAATGGCCATCACCTCTACATTGGTGGCCAACACCTCTACATTGGTGGACATTACTTCTACCCTGATGGTCATTGTCTCTACACTGATGGTCATCACCTCCACACTGATGGCCACCACTCCTGCACTGATGGCCACAGTGCTACATTCGTGGCCAACACCTCTCCATTGGTGGAGACTCCATCCTGGCTGCAGCTCAGGATCAGGGATCATCCCGAGCCAAAGGCCCGGCAGCTGCAGGGCACATTCCACCACTCCAGGAGCTTTGTGCTTCCACATAAACGCCCATTCAATTAAGGAGGTGATAAATGCCAGACCCCGGGAAGTTCATTCCTTGCCGGGATATGGATTTATAGGGAAGCAGCTTGGATACCATGGAGACAGTCAGCACTACAGACCCAGGGGAGACACTGGAGAAGAGAGCGAGGTGGGGAATTAATAAAAAATGCTTTAATATAAAAATACCTCTGCTCCCAGCTTACATCTGTGCTGGAAGAAAGACACGGCAAAGGATGCTTGGATGCTCCCACATTCCCCAGCAGTTTACCCACTTTGAGATTTTCACGGAAAAAAAGACCCTTTGGGGAATGTTTAGAAAGAAACAGCAACAGGAACCACTGAGCCAGGACTTATTTGATTTCATTTGAACAGGACCAGAGAGGGAAAGAAAGAGTTTTGTACATTCCTGACTTATTTGGGAAGTTTCCCAGCTGTTCCCATATATTGACTTGTTTTTCTCTTTTTCCCAGCATCTGGCAATGGTGCTTTTAGAACTCAACAGCTCCTGAGGTGTTTCACAAAAAGGAAAATTGAACAAGGCTGGAAGAGCAGTAAAGGGAGAGCTTTGGGTTCATTTTTATCCTGAAGTTTTGTTTTCCTCTAAATAGATAAGGAATTTCACCCCCTTGATTCCCTGCCAATGCCAGAGCAAGCAGTGGCAGCATCCAGCCTGAAATTCCTCAGCTCTCTACATCCAAACACCATGACCGTGACCAGGGAGGAAAAATTAGGATACGAGGGAAAATTTCTTCACTGAAAGAGTTGCCAAGCCCTGGAACATCCCCGGAGTCCCCATCCCTGGAGGATTTAACAGCTCTGTGGATGTGGCACTTGGGGACACGGATCAGTGGTGGCCTTGGCAGTGCTGGGGGAACGGTTGGAATCAATGATCTTAAGGATCTTTTCCAATTTAAACAATTCTGTAGTTCTATGGAAGCAGCGGCCAAAACTCAGTGCCAAAAAAGGCGTGACTTGAGCACCAGCATCCAGCAGATGCCAGCCCCTCCAGGCTGGAAATACTCATCCCATCCAACCCCATTCCAGCTGAACCCAGAGCAGCCCCAAAAGGAAGCCAGGGAATTCAATTCCTGCCGTTTCAAGCAGCCCCGAGATGGGAGAGACCCTCCTGCTCCTCATGGACGAGCTTCTGCAGAGCCAAACCAGCAGGAGGAAACAGAAAAGCCCTGGAGAGAGAGCCAAGGCTCCCCTCATCCCACTATCTCCTGCCGATGGAAGCACCAGCTTTTGATGGATATTACTTAGGCAGCAAAATTTTCCTGCCAGCAGCTGGCACACAAGATAACTACAGCCAAACCACAAGGGCTGCAGCAGGAGGAGGAGGAGGAAAAGGAGGAGGAGGGGGATCAGCCTCCCCGAAAAGTAGCTCCAACTCCATCGTCGCCTCGGAAGAAAAAACAACTTCTTTGGAAAAAGCCAACTCCATGCATTTTTATTTGGAGGAAATAGAGGAGACGAGCTCTTCTCCAGCTGCGGGGAGAAGAGCTCAGAGCCAGGTGAATGCAAAGCAGCCCCTGGGGCTTAGCTTAAGCCAGGCTTTTAAACAAGTCATCCGAAAAAAACTCCATGCTCCAGGTGCCACTGGAAGCCTTTGGGAAGGACACGCTCAGAATGGGCTCCGAGAGGGAAGGGTGCACAGGGATGAGTGCAGGCACCTCGACCTCCTTGTCCCTGATATATTCTCTGCACCCTGCTCCTCTGGCTGCTTTGAAACTCAGAAGATATTTTTTTTAAATCCTTCTGGATAAGGGAAAGAAACTTTGGATAGAGCTGGCTCCACTTAGGAATAGTAAGAATGATTATTATTAATAAAAAGTTAATGCTGCTGTCACAGGAAGGATCTGTTTCTTTGGCTAGGCAGGGTGCCAGCACATGGATCCCCCACAGGCAGCCCTGCTCTGTCCCAAAGAGGATCCCAGGCACTGAGGGTGCTCGGAAAAAATCAGGAATAATTCAGGGATGTCATGCAACAGGGATGGGAAGAGCTGGCACAAGTGGAAGGATTTTTTGGGACCATCTCTCAGCGAGGCACTTAATCAAAGGCATTTCCTCAAATCCCTTCCTCTGCAGCAAAGCAAATCCCACTGTGTTAAACACTTTCCTGGAGAAATCAGGGCCAAACCAGCAAGATTTCCATGGCATTTGGAAACACTCTTACAACACAAAGGAAAACTTTCCCCCTGGAGCATCCTCCACGTTAAGGACCAGCCGCTGGTGGGGATTTGATGCTCCAGTGGGTAAGAAAAGCTCAGCCAGCCCTGACATTCCCACATCAAACACGGAGGATCACGCTGCTGCTTTTCCCATTCCCAACCATCCTCTTGGCTCAGGATATTCCAGGCCCCTCCCCAAGCTGCTGCCTGCTGGTGGAAGATATATCCAGGTTTAATGTATGTATTAATCCACATATTGACTTTCCTGTTGTCAGTCGTTATCAAGATTTATCCGGCCTGATGGCCTGGCATCGATTGGGAGGGAGTGTATTCCCATGGGTCAATCCATTCTGATCCAGAGCCTGGCATGAAGTCGATCCCTATTTATTATATGATCTACGAGTTCCATTATTTAACTGCCAGGGAAGGGAATGTGGCAGAAAAGTAGGAAAAGGGAAAACAAGAGAGGCAGAGAAGAAAGGTCTGGCTCCTAAAGCAGGTGTTTGAACACGGACGGGGTTAGGGGAGGCAGGAATCCATGACTTCCCTGCCCAAAATACAGCCAGGAGTGGGGAGAGGAGGACAGGACCTGAAAGGCACTTTGGAAATGCTCCAGGATCATGAGAATCATGGGATGGTTTGAGTGGGAAGGGACCCTAAAGATGATTTCATCCCACCCCCTGCCATGGGCAGGGACACCTTCCACTATCCCAGGTTGCTCCAAGCCCCATCCAATCTGGCCTTGGACACCTCCAGGGATGGGGTAGCCTGGACCAAGGCCTTAGAGAGAAGAATCTCTTCCCAAAATCCCATCTAACCCTGCCCTCTGCCCATGGGAAGCCATTCCCTGTGTCCTATCAGTGCATGGCTCCAGCCTGGCATGGAGGAAAACAGGGTGGCAACTCTGTGCCTCAGTTTCCCTCCCACTGACCAGGATTTAGAGCTTCTCCTTCAATTCCCAGCACAGGAAGGAAGGCTGAGAGGATTAATTTTAGGTCCACTGAGGAGAAAAATCCGATTTCATAGAATCCTGCAATGGTTTGGGAATAGAAGAGACCTTAAAGATCCTCTCAATTCCAACCCTTGCCATGGGCAGTGATGCCACTCAGGTTGCCCAGGGCTCCATCCAGCCTGACCTTGTTGTTCCTTCAATGTGGGGCTCGTTAAAGCTCAAAGCACAATTTGGGTGCCTTGGAGGTGGCTGCAAGAACCACGGAGCATCCACAGGTGCTGGGGGTTGGGTTGTATTTCCTTTCTTTTCCTTGTTACTTGTGGAATTTTTTCCCATTGAGTTGCTAATAGGCACTGATGGCTGGGTGCTTGAGACATCGGGGAGTGGGGAGGGGAAATAACTCTGTTTTTTTGGGAGTTTCTTGGAGGGACAGAGACACCAGACGGGGGCTGGAGCAGCTGCAGATCTTTCTGCTCTGCTTTGGCGTCGGAGAAGAACATCCAGGCTGTCACTGACTGCGGGGAGAATTCAGGGGCACCGGAGGGATCTATCACCATGTGCTCTGTGCCCCTAAATCCCGAACTTCTCCTCTCCCTGGCCCAACACCGCTGTTTATTCAGGTTTGTTCTGGGTTTCTCCACACCCTCCTGCCGGCCCGGGACATTCTGCAGCGACCACCGTGGAATTCCTGACACATCCTGCTGGATCCCACAAACCTGGGATTTTTGAGCTTTCTGTGCTTTCTGGCACTGACCCCCTGGAGAACACTGCTTTAGACCTGAGCCCTTGGAGAATGCTCCCAAATTTGAGTGATGGAGTTAAAATCACGGGTGTGTAGCTAAACAGAAGTGTGTGATTTCACATGATGAAGGGTTTATAATTTGAGGTTTTTATAATGTAGTAATAGGCATGGGACAAAATGGAGAATTTTGGATTTCTTTCTGTCTTCTTCCTTCTTCTTCATGGTTTCAGGTAATAGTTTCTGGTTGGTCAGTGAGTGCTGCACTGTGGTCACAGGAGTTTGGTTATTGGGTCAAAAGTATAAATAATATAGGTGTTAATTCTCTATTGAACTGTTTAGCTTTAAGAGACTTTGTAAGTAGCTCATTTCACCTCCATTTTGCTCACTTTTAGCTGGTAGCTGGAAGTGTTGCTGAACTCTCTGTACTTAAAATAAGATTTAATAAACCAAAGTCAAACGCGAGAAAATTCTTCTCCTTCGTATTTTTAATCCTGACTCTGAGTGAAGACAGAAGAAAGTGAAGACAAGCCACTCACTAAGTGCTGCAGACCCCATCCATTTACACATCTCATCCACCACCCCGGGACTTTTGCTCACTCCAGCTGTGACAGCAACTGCACCAAAGGGAAAGTGCCTGCAGCTGAGAGGGCTGGAACTGGGTCCTGCTTCTGTTTGTTGTTAATTCCATTGTTGTTGCTTGTTTGCCTTGTTTTACATACTAGTCAAGAACTGTTATTCCTATCCTCATCTCTTTGCCTGAGAGCCCCTTAATTTCAAAATCACAATCATTCAGAGGGAGGAGGGGGTTTACATTCTCCAATCCAAGGGAGGCTCCTGCCTTCCCTAGCAGACACCTGTCTTTCAAACCACGACAGCAGGGAAAAACCAGACTTCCCCAGTCTGTTCCATCTCAAGTGCCATGGTTTCCACCTTTCCCCTTTCCTCCCATCCTTCAAATCAGGTTAAATATCCCCAGCTTCCTGAGCATTAAGATTTACAAGCCTCAAATCCTTCCCAGCTGGGCTGTGCCTGTAAATGTCAGGAGATCTGGCACTGGGAGAGTTTAAAGCCAAGCTTTGTCCAGAGCTCCTCCTGCCCACCAGGAACGAGGTCCAGGGATGGAGAG